CTCTTCTACCAGACTTCTCTTGTCACTTTGAAACCTATAAAGCTATGATATTATACATAAAATGTTGTTTATATTATGTATCTGTTTATATACATAAATCTAAGATACATGCACATACACACACAACCTGATGAGAGAAGCCTTCTAGAGGAGAGGTTTTTAAAGAGAAGAAAGTTTCAAGAGTGGGTACACACACACACACACACACACACACACACGGAATTAGATAAACAGATATAGATACAGATATCTTACAAAACCCTTCCTCCTGGGTACTTCGTTCGGCAGATGCTACCTTGATACTAGATTACACTGATTTAATTGTGAAACTCAACAGTTTTAAATTTTCCCTACATCAATCCCCTAGAATTCAGTTATATAAAGCACTTAGGAGAGACAAAGAGTAGACAAAACTTAACAACAGATACAATCTTTCCTCAGTCTCCATGGTCATTACCACTGCCTAATCCCACCCACCTCCACTCATCCACACGCACTGGAGAATGTACTGGCTCCTCAAATCACCCTACCTGCAGCTGTCTTTCTGGCTCCTCAGCCCTCCTCCTGCCTCCCTCCTTCTCTTCCTCTCTCTTCTTTTTCCCTCTCTCTTCCTGTCTAGTAAAAAGCACAGAGCATTCTTTATCTTATGAAGAGAAACTTCCTCTGTTCTAAAGCCCTCCTGTCAGCAACTCGATCCTGGGTTGCTCAGGGAGATGAATTTAGAATGTGGCAATGATAGAAATGTTTACCTCCTACCTGAATAACTCTTCTAAATAAATAATTCTTTCTAAAATGTCTCTACTTTTCTCCTCTAATTTGGTCTATTAAATTATTAATTCTTCCATGCAACAACAAACTCCTGCGGACGGTGTCGGCGACCTTTGATCTCCTGTCCGCTGTACCCCGTCTCTGGCACCACGGTGACGCCCACTAGGAATGAATTTGTGCATGTTCTCTGAGCTCAGTGGGACAAACTGAGTTCCTACCCTGATGATTATGATACTACTCCTAGCTGGAAACTTTTTTCTTGTTCACTGTTCTGCCTTTTCAAATTCCAGCTGCCTCCCCTCCTGCTCTCGCTGCTGCCTTCGCACTTTCCCTTCTGTGGCTCTGTGTATTCTGATCTCTCCTCCCCTCTCTATCTCTCTCAAAACACGTTGTTTTCTTTGCTTACTCTATGACACATCATATTTTTTAATTCATATATTTTAGATATATCTCTTCCTCAATCTAGCAGAGGAGATGAATGGGTGGGTCATAACTGCAGATTAAATACTTAATAAACTGAAGCAACACAATAAAATCAAATCCTGTAATTATAAATGCTAAACAGAATCTGAGATTAAACTTCCTTCAAGGGGAGTGTTCTTTGCAATTTACTTCTTGTGTTCTGTAGGGATGGATGATTTATAATGTCATGTTATATTTTATTGGCATCTGTTTATGCCTTAGTTCTAGAGACTATACTCAAACGACAGAAAAGTGTGATAAACAAATACTATTCACAATAAATGTGGAAAAATCCTATAATAAATATTGAAACAAATAGCCATACTTTCACTACAGGTATTCATCATCAACTCACTAACTTTGTTAAAATAAAATTTTTACAGAAGTAAGGAGTTCCATATTCTTATGGTTTCTTTTCTTTCTTTTTTACCAAACATTAAAATATCTTTTCAGAGTGTAAGTTAAATTTTCCTATCATTAGAAAAGCCCAGAGTCAATTGTTTTTACACCCTTAAATAATTTTAATGAGGACAAACCTTTTAGTGAAAGTACTTGTTCCATTTCCACTAATTTTGCTACTTTTCTACTTTTCTTTTGTCTGAAATATGTATGAAATGGATTAGATCACAGTTTAGCTTGTTATAGTCTTGTTAGGATATTTGTATTATAGATTTTTACATGTCTTGAATATATATGTCTTCTGTGGCTCTGTTTCTTTAAATTCACTCTTTTACCACGTGTGTTAGTTACTGTATTGTCAACATTATGCTCCCAAAGGGGGACAGAGTTTGCCTGAGACTCAGTGCTAAAATGCCACTTCTTTATCCTCACCAAGCACTTATTACTCTGGGCCTCCTGCTGCCCGTGTGAGGCTCTGTATATAGTTAAAAGCTCCAGTTTCTGTTCTATGGGGCAGGAAATGCTGATTTGCAGTCCAGATACAAAGTTCCAAGAAGTTAAAAGCAGAAAGAAATGATATGGCTGCAATGGCGGGGGAGTTGAAGCAACCCTCAGTGGCAGGGTCTCCATGAGCAGAGCAGAAGAGAGGGCCCTATGGCGGGCGAAAAGAGGCTCACAGACACCCTGGAACAAGGGTGCTGTGGCCAAGGGCCAAGCAACAAGCCCTTTGGTCTGGGTCACGCTTGAGCACAGGAGACGTGGGGGGATACCCAGCCAGGGCCAGATGGTGGGGGGCCCTCAGAGGGTGCTCCTGGAGCCTGGAGTCAGCCTGGCACGGTCTGGGACAATGACCCATCACTGACTACTGCTGGCTGAGAAGTGACATGCACAACATGGCGCTTCAGATTAGGAGGTTATGAGGGTGAGCTGCATAGGGTCTACGGGACCGGGGGCATCTGGAAGCAGAAGGTTCCACAGGAGAGTATTGTACGATCGTACAGAGGAGGGAAAGGACTGGAATGGTGGCAGAGAAATGAGAAGGAAGGATTAGGCTACAAGCGACACAGCGAAAGATGAATCAACAGGCTTGGCCAGCTGATTCGGGGCTGCGGGAGAGAACAAAGAGTGAATAGGCTTACTTTGGGGGCCCTGGGTTTCACACTTTGTATGAGATAGCTACTCATTTGGCTCTTGAGGCCCAAACTCTCTCTTCTTTTCTTTGGGATCGCCTCACCCCCAGACAGTTCACAGATGGGCACCGTCCAATCCTGTCCCAGAAATCTGGAATCTGGCCTGACATCTAGGGAGTGGTCTCCCTATGAGGTGTTGGTTGTGCCATCTGTGAGCTGGGAAGCTGTAAAACTGCTTTACAGTAAGAGAGAAAAAGAAAGCAGAAGAGAGCTAGAGAGCAAAAGGTAGGTCTGGGTCCCCTGTTCCACTTTAGTCTCTGCTCTCATGTGTCCCCCAAATGCGACCGCATCCCTCCCCTGACTCTGCAGGACATCCTTATGGACACAGGACTATGTCCCCCTTTGTAAGCTGGCTTGGCAGGGTTATTGTTACTTGTAGTCACAATGAATATTCCTCAGCACAAACTCTCTATGTTCAGTCGATTGGTGTCTTGGCCACTCTCTGAACTTGAGCACTTCGCAAGTCGGTGAGGATTTTCATGCCATGTCCTTCACCCAGAATGTCTTTCCCTTTCCAGTCCTGCTGATTCCGCCTGTGTAAATCCTGACTATACTTCCTTCCTTCCATCTGTCTTTATTAGGTAAGTCTTCAGTAAGTCCATAATATCTGTAAATTCTAACGTTACATTTTCCCACTTCAAGTCCCTGCTTTTAGTAGATTTACTGGCAGAATTGTTAAAACTATATAAATAAGTTAGAGGTGGTAGATGGTAATAGAAAATCAGGAAATTTATATAATAAATATATAAATTTAAACAAATTTAAAAGACAGTAGTCCATTTGTCTACCAATACTTTTGACTCTTAGATGGATTCAAAGAGATACTAGTAGGCCACTTGGGCAAAGCAGGTATTTCACATAAGGAAGTATATTAGTTAAAATTATTAAATGGAAAAAGGTTTAAAAAAGCCTTTAAACAATACATGATATATTATTGCATAAGTGCTATAAATTCAGTTTGACAAATATCGAGAAGAGGTTCTATAGCAAGAGAGAGGCAGATGTGGAACCCATCAATGCTTTATTACTCAAAATCCAGGGCTTTCTCCACTGTGTGAAACTATCCACTGGAGGTAAAAGAGTAAATACATCAATTTTTAAATGAAACAAATAATTCAATTTTATGTCTTCAAATAATTTTTTCAACTACTTTTTAAAGCAGTAATGTATTTTAAATTATCACCCATTAAAATGTTTATATACTCCAGGAACCATGCTGAACCTGATGTTTAGGCTATATTATATACAAAAAAAAAACAACAAAGACTGTTTTTCTCTTTTAAGACACTACAGATTCTTTCTGATAAAGGTCTCTTTTTACCTTTCGAAATGAGAAAACCAATCTGCTATCCTGTGAAATCTCACATAAATTTGGAACACAATGGAGTACACTTTCCCTTCAGCAATGGTAGCCTTTGTTCTAATAACTTCTAATGCCTCTGGAGAGAGAAATCCAAAATTACTTTATGAAAGCAATAAGAAAATGTCTAGCAAATGGATGGACATTTAGTGAGCAAGACAAAATGCCAAGAAATAGTTAATGTCTCTTTCTGTCTCATTCAAGGGATACTCTTAAGACCCCAAAGCATTCACACTGGAAGATTACATGAGTAGCACTGGTTAGTGTGATGCTATTGTACAAACAATCTGTTGCTAAGCAGAGCAGAAATACTGTTTACATGAAAAGGAAGGATCTCTGGTGAATACTCAAAGTGATAATTTCCATAGCCAGAAAAAGCACTTTTACATTATTCCATTTCAACTGCTATAAACCCTGAGTTGCTTTGGCAATTGCTTAGCCCTGTTTTGCTGGCTCTATATCATCCTCATCTCTGCAGCTTTCCATTCACTAAATGACAGGGGGCTTTTTGTGTTTTGTTTTCTTTAGTTTTGTTTTGTTTTCCCTGAAGCCTTGCCAGGAAACACCACCATGCTGCATGGTTTCTAGCGGCCCACCTGGCAATGTTCATTCAAGGAATTTTTGGTGCCCCTCTCATAAAAGCCCACTTGGCTTATTCTGGTAAAGCTGCTGAAAATATGATCAGAGGAGGCTCCATTAATAGCACTGGGAACCACGTACTCCTCCAGCTTTATGAAGCCTTAGACTGTATACTGCGTGTTATACTGAGAACAAAGCACAGAGCAGCTTCCATGAGAAGAGGGAAACACAAAGACACTTACCTGCATTACAATAAGGAGGTCAAAGACCAAAATGAAAGAAGCCAGGAAAGCTCTGGAGACCTCATCACTGGGCAAAAATCCCCGATTCAGCTTGTCCCAGCTGATCCAGTCAGTTGTAATGACGAGGACAACCACAGAAGTCAGAGTGAACAGAACCGTCCTGCAAGAAACAAGGTACTCATTAAAGAACACCAGCCATAATAACATGCACCCAGAGGAGGGTGCATGTTTCCTGGGCCATACTACATGTCTCCCCCTTGCCAGCTACGTACTGTAAGGCACAGTCACCAAAAGGAAGATGAAAAATAGAAGAAAATTAAGTGATTTCTTTCAAAAAACAATAGAAAAAGATATGATTGCATCTCCGCCAAGATTTTCCCTAAGGACAGTAAGACAAAGATTACAGAAAAAATAATTAACCACAAAAAATATTACAAATGACCTTGGTTAGTGCACGTGTCACAAAGAGAACATTGGTGTGTAGTTCTCACTGCATGTACATCATTTACTGAGGGTAGTGAACACATGTGATGGTAAATGGATAAAGAAGTCCTTAGATTCTGTTGTTGTCTAACAAAAATTAGACAACACATCATCATTCTCATAGCCTGGGGAGCTCCATAGAGGAACCTCCTGTAGATGCCTAGAGTAGCCTCTTCTCCTCAGAGGACTCATGACTTAGATAGTTTGTGGTCTATTGATCTGTCTAGGTCATACCATGTCTGATTGCCCATCCTTGTCCTAAGATACTAGAGGCCTGAGAATTTTCTCTTATACATCTGTGTAGCCCCCATAAAATCTTGCATAATTATATGCAGATAAAATTCAATGACTGTTAAAATTGTAACAATTATCAATTAAGTTGTTTATAAAACTAAAAAATACTTAAATTAATCTTTAATATTGCCATTCAAAGTATATCTGAAATACAAGCCATGCAAATTTATATTGCCAGAGAACAGTCCACGATGTATTAAGTCTCTGCTTTCAGAGGTACCTGAATATTGTTTGGAACTATAAAAATTTTTTAAGTATTTTTAAAAAGTTTTAATCTAAAGAAAAAGATGAAAGAATGAAAACAAAGAAAAAAGAAAATGAAAATGGAAGAAAAGTATAAAGGTAAAATAATACCTTAGATGAATACATACCCATTTTGGGAATTAACAGTTTTTGCCCTCTTATTTTTATAATAATTGATATTCCAAAAAGAATAATAAGAACTATCCTAGATTCCTATTTTTAATTGAACAAAATACAAATTTCTAAACCAAGATGTTGGGTTTTCTTTTTACAACATCTTATTTTGAACAAGTTATACTTTGATAGAATGGATACAATAAACACCTTGTTAGATTACCCCATGAATAGAAAAGATATTTAATTTTGGAAAATAAAAGTTTCTAATAAAAATTCATTTCTTTTATTAAAATTAAAAACTCAAAATAATTTGATTTCCAAAATATAAATTACAGATTGTCTCTACTACCATTAAGAATACATTTAATCATTTCCAGAAATTCAATGGATTAAATAATTGTTATAATTATTTTTACAATTAAACAGAAAGAAATGGCAAATACTATATTGTTAAACCTAAGAATAATGTGATTTTAAACAAATTTTTCTCCAGGTTAAGTCAATTCATTTATGTTTTTGTTCTTTTGAATTTGAGAAACTTTAAGCAAATCTAAATGAAATTACCACAATTTCTTTTGTAAACAAAGAGTATAACAAACTGTATGAAGATATATATTGACTATTCTTCAAAGCTCCTTTGGGCAATAAGGGTAGTTCCTCATCCTTTTCAAATAATGTCCCATAAGGATGATATGAATTATATAGTTCCTCAGGAGGTACTGTATGGCTGAACAGGTTGGTACACGGTTGGGGCCCCAGTTCCCTCAAGCTCGTCCTTCTTTGCCCCCCCAGCCTCCTTCATGAAGCTATTCATCTCCCTGTTACCAGCAGGACAGTGTGAAGCACAGGGAAACAAAAGCTCTCCAGCACCTCCCTCCAGCTCCATGAGCAGGGTCCTTTCTCTTGCTCACAGTCTGTGGTCTACAGGTTAATATTTTTAATATCATCCCCTGCACCTTCCCTAAGAAACACCTGGAAGCTCCTTTTTTGAGGATAGTTAATTATATAGGAATTTGTACTCTAATGTTACTTCATTGGTCTAAAAATGTAAATCGACACTGCAAAATTAAATATTCAGAGGAACATTTTTAAATATAAAATCTGTGAGTTTGGAATAAGGATCTTCTGAGCAATCAGAAACCTCATCTATCATAATAAGGTTTATAAAAGAATTGTTATTATTCATGCCAATACTCTCATTGTGAATGAAATCATTAAAATTAATCATAAAATTTTTTAGTAACTGGAGTTTATCATAATGCCTGTTGTGTGCGAGCTTTCTAAGACCAAACCTATACCAATTCACCTCTTGGATGTTTGCTTTATTTGATATGTGTCCTTTAATCCAATATATAATACTCTTTCTAAGAGTTTTTCATAAATGTTTTCCTGGCTTTATTAAGTACTTATGTTTTGAAAAAAAAGTATTGCTATAGACCTCAAGAAAAAAATTACTGGTAATATTTTATTACTCCAAAGGGAAATTAAAGGAGGTATTCTGCCTGATATTTAATATTTAATGCCACAAAAAGAATAAAAATGGCAATTATTAAATATGGATATATGCAGCTCAGAGAAAGAGCCCTAAAAATAAAGACTCAGGAGAATGAGAAAAAAGAAAAGGAGTAGGGGAACCAAAATCCATTAATTGGTCATTAGACCTCCAAAATTATACTCAGTGTCTCGGCTAGATTTGGCTGAAGAAACAAATGTGTTGCACGTGGTTTGATTATCTGAGCCACTTCTTATAAAACTGATAGATTTTACTGTGTTATGATAATTCAGTCAAAACACCAGTTTAAAACAGCTATGACCCAGTTATGTTACACAAAAACAATCACTTTTATGAGAAATTGCTATGAAAGAAACAGTGATAACAGCAAATTACCATACAGTAATATGCCACTTCCCATGTGCTCGACATTGGTATGAGCGCTTTATGCAAATTAACCCATATAATCCTTACCCCAATCCTGTTATCACCACCCTGGATTTCCAATTGCTGAAACTGAGTCACAGAAAATTCAAATAACAGACTTTATACGTTATATAAATATAAGATGTAAGTGATATAAGATGATTCAAATCCAGGCTTACTCAGGACTATCTGTGCCATAACCTTTGTTCATTACCTTTCACAGAAAGCACCTGCTATTACCCTCCTGTTCCAAAGTCTGTAGCTAAGATTTCATTTATTTTCCTTGGAGAATTATCATACAGGATCCTTACCACTAAAAAGTAAAACTGACAGAGACTAAAGACCACAGCCAAGGAACCACTAAAAAGAATATTTTCATGGCTGTGGAAATGGAAACCTGAAGGAGACTGGCCATTGATACGACATCCTTGGGTTTTATTTAAGCAATGTGGTTAAAAAGATGTTTACTCTGGACCATGCTTCTTGGCGAGTCCCAGCTTCTCTTTTTAAGAAGCATCCAATTAAGCAATTATCTGGATTAATTCCCTTCAGGCTGCAGCCAGCACCGGCAGGACGTCCTGGCTCATCAATTTCACTGTCCAGTTTCTGGACACCAAGTAGCAAGAACTCATACATAGTTATCAGCTTGAGTGGTTCATCTCACTTATATGTTTTCAAAATTCCATTTGTTTGCTTTTCCTCAATTGTAGCTAATTCGTCTTAGATTAATAGTATTAGAATGTGAGTCCAAGAAGGGTTAACAGAGCTTTTCTAATCCAGCAGCGTCCAACCTCTGGGTGCGGCGGCTCCTGGGGACTACGCAGTTGCTGCTAAGCAAGCGTGAATTTATATGTGCACTATGAGTTGTTGGTAAATGGAACAAATAAGATATTCCCAGACAGGTTAGGGGACTTGCTCATGTCACATAGACTGTCTGTGACAGAACTTCAGTGAGAACTTAGATCTACTGACTCTGAGAAGGACTTGTAGTAAAACCACTTTCTTCAGCTAAAGATCTGCAGATATTCTAAAAAATTCAGTATCATCTTGATCTCATCTGGAAACAAACACATTTCAGGGCCTGCTCAAATATCTATTTTATATGGTAATCATGCCTGTAAGTAAATGTAAATAAGCCCCCAAAATGTGGTTTAATTTATAGTCTGGATCATTCCACCCTAACTTCTGGATTTTTTAAAATACTGAATTTCATTATAAGTAATTAAATTAATTACTATTGTTTTACTTCGTCCATTCAGAACCACTTTAAGGTGGACTTTATTGCATAGTCCACTTGCCTGAAAGCAGACTTTAATCAAGAGAGAGAAGAATTGGCATTAGGTTCTAAAGGCTAACTCACAGGGCTAACTATCACACAATTTTATTTTGATTAAATCAAGTAGTAGGAATGTATAGACTCTCCTAACTAATATATTATAAGTTGAATCAAACAAAACTGCCAAAATTTGGCCATGTTTTACCCTACTAAGAATAGCAGTTTCATGTGATTCAATATAATATGATTTTATGTGTTTTAATATATTAGCTATTATCCATGCTCTAAATTATTCATAATCTTCTATTCCAGTCACGAATTTCATATTCCTTTCTGATCATGCTGCACAATTATTATAATATCTAAAAGAAAATAAAAATCAATTTTATTTCTTTTAAAGATACTTGTGTTAAAATGTTGTAACAATCAAAACAAGTCAGAAATATGTGCCATAATTTCTCATAGTAAAATCAAAATCTGCAAATCCTGTCAAAAAAGGAATGTTTAAAGTTTCCACTGCAATAAAAGAATACATGGATCCAGACAGCAAGTTTAAATTTATAGTTAACTTATGATACAGTCTCATAGTTCAAGGGCTAAACACAAGAAATGAACTGTGGCATAGCAATGGAATTTAAAATGATTCAGTACCATTATTACTATCCATGATATTTAGAGGGGAAAATATAATAAACAGGAATAAGAAGAAAAATACTTTCCTCCCTTTTCATTGCAAAACTGAGCGCCAGTTCAAACATCCAGTTCCCCTCTGAACTCTAAGTGCCAGCACACAGAAGTCACAGATGGCCATGAGAGAATGCCAACCCTT